CCTCAGGTGCGTGCGTACCCGGTCACCTGCTCGCCACGTCTCTCTTCAAGTGTGTGTGGGTGTGTGCATGCACCGGGACTGACACTAGACACGATAATAATGGATGCGGCTGTAGGCTGGGGTTCATCATCGATTTTCTGTCCAAGGCGACGCTGGTGGGGTTCATGGCGGGCGCGGCCATCATCGTGTCGCTGCAGCAGCTCAAGGCGCTGCTGGGCATCGTGCACTTCACCACCCAGATGGGCATCGTCCCCGTCATGGCCTCCGTCTTCCAGCACACAAACGAGGTCCGTCCGTCCGTCCGTTACCCATCCGCGTGCATGCACGTACGGTTCATTCCTGGCTAATGGTTTCGTTTGTGTGTGTGTACGTGCAGTGGTCGTGGCAGACGATGCTGATGGGCGCCTGCTTCCTGGTGCTCCTGCTCGCGGCCAGGCATGTGGTAAGCATTCCGCCACTGTGGTGCGCCGTTGACCGGCGCCGATGGGCTGCTGTCCTACGCGCGAAAGGCACCAAATGCTGTTTCTGCTCTGCTCCAACACGCTTTGTCTCCTCTGTTACGTTACGTACGTACGTTCGTCGTGCACAGTTGACCGGCGCCGATGGCCTGCTGTCCTACGCGCGAAAACGCCCAAATGCTGCTGCTGTGTTCCGCTCTGCTTCAAGACAACTTTATCTTCTCTTTACTTTATTTATTATTATCGCGTTGTCCGTATACAAGTATACGTTGTATGTGCAGCTAGCTGTACCTGTACGTACGTGCCGTCGGTCGGCTGGGCTAGAATAGATAGCCTCCCACGGCAGAAAATTCTAGGAACGACGGGTACGTACGTGCCAGGCCACATATGTATGTTGTATGTAGCCTTAGTAGTAGTCGTTGATGATGCGAGATGCACATCTCACACCGTCCATGGGAGGACGGTTGGTAGATGTGCACAATACGTTTTTCTTCAGGTTGGTGACCACGGAGTGGCACCCGGTGAACGGATGGATGCACACCTACGACAGTGTTTTACTTTACCCACAATATATATAAGATTTTTGATAGTTGACAGGGGAGAAAGGTTAGTAGTACGGGTCGACGTCGTGTTCAGAAAAGAGACCACGGGAGAAAGTGAGCGGGCGGTGACTTGTCACGTTCGATTCGCAACGAGGCGGACAACACCGGCCAAGTGGTCATCCGCAGTGATGAAGGACGTTCACTGCAACGTTGGACCATTGTTTCCACTCCCACTCCCAGCTAGTGTGACCTTCAGTTCACTGAACCTTCATTCTCAGCTACACAGCTGAATGACTGGACCTATATATAGGTGCTGGCTTCCAGAAATCAAGGTCTTCCTCTGGTGCAACTACCACTGATCTATTCATCTAAGTATGTATGCTAGCAGAGGAATAGTGTTGTGCCTCTCAAGGCCATACTGATTTTCCTTCTTCCAGAAAAGGTCTTGACAAAGTAAAATTAAGAAACCCACACAATACAAGTACTTCTGCAACCTACAGAGTCTGAACTTTGCTATAAAAGTACTTCTGCAGTTTCACATTTTCAGCACTGACCTCTTTCCAAATGAAATACTAGTTGGGGATAGCAAAGGCCATGAGCTGCTTTTGCTAAGGGCTGGTGGCAACCCTGTCTAACTCTCAATTCATTCTTAACTGCTTTTGCTTAGGGTTGATCAGTTGGTAAACTGACAGACGATTTTTCATTTCTGGAATCTAAAATCAAGTCTGCATTCTTGCTGTATGACTGAATCCATGGGTGCTGGCTTGAGAAATTAAGCTCCCCAAGCCCACAATAGTGCAACCGCTTCTACTTGATCTATATATATGTGCTAGCTCTAGTCTAGAGGACTAGTGTTGTGCCTCTCAAGGCCATACTCATTTCTGTTCCTCAGGAGAGAACAGAAAAAAGAGGAAGAAACTCACATGTGCAACCTGCAAATACTGAACTTTGCTCTGCACTTCTGTAGCTACATTCTCTTTCAGCACTGACCTCTTTTCAAATGAAATATTACTTGGGAATAGTAAAGGTCTTGAGCCGTAGCCAGTGCTGGCAACAACCCTGTTTCACTCTGCTTTCGCTCGGAAACTGACAGTGCTGCTGGCAACCTTGTCTAACTCGGTTCATTCTTAGTAGTAGTAAAGTTATCGAGGCATACTTACCTCCTTTGATACCCGGGGCTGGTGGCAACCCTGCCTATCTCACTTCATTCTTGACTGCTTTTGCTATGGGCTTTGTCAATGCTGAAACTGCTAGAAAAATTTCCGTTTTTTGTTAGAACCTAAAATCAGATCTGTTTCTTATCCTGCAATTACTGATTCTGACTCCTGCACTCGTACTTACTCGTCTGATATTCTGCATGCGTGTGTGTATGCAGAGCATCAGATGGCCAAAGTTCTTCTGGATCTCAGCGTGTGCTCCCTTGGCATCCGTCATCGTATCCACCCTTCTCGTCTTCCTGTTCAAAGCACAGAACCACGGCATCAGCATTGTAAGAGATCAACAAAGATTGAACAATTGCTCATATTTTTTACAACTGTGTCATGCAACATGATGGCAAACAAAAAATATATGAATCTTTTTGCCGCAGATTGGTTCGCTCAAATGTGGCCTGAATCGCCCCTCATGGGACAAACTGCTCTTCGACCCGACATATCTTGGACTCACCATGAAGACTGGACTCGTCACCGGAATCATCTCCCTTACGGTATGCTACATATGACCCTCACACTGCACTAAAAAGATTCACCTTGGAAAAACAAAAAACTCTAACACGCTTCAAATTGGAAAATTCAAAAAAACGCTTCAAATTGGAATTAAGTAGCTGCGATGTATTTTTCATAGCCAGTGCCACTGAAACTCTGAAGTGTGCCCTGAATTTCGCTCTGACAGGAAGGAGTAGCAGTCGGTAGGACGTTTGCTTCACTCAAGGACTACCAGGTGGACGGAAACAAAGAGATGATGGCCATCGGGTTGATGAACATTGTGGGCTCATGCACATCGTGCTATGTGACAACAGGTAACCTACATTTCTGGACTTGAAATAACCTCCAACATCCTCTTGCATTCCTTGTAGAAAAACTGAAGGATCAATACCTGGGTAGAAAGGTTGTTTTTTAGATAATAGAAGGACAAGTCTCCCCGGTTCTGCATCATACGATGCACACAACTATAGGTCGAAAGCTTCATGGCGCTCTCTTATTTCTAACAGGAGCATTCTCTCGCTCTGCTGTGAACCACAATGCCGGCTGCAAGACCGCCATGTCCAATGTGGTCATGGCGCTGACGGTCATGGTCACGCTGCTGTTCCTCATGCCATTGTTCGTATACACGCCGAATGTTGTCCTTGGAGCAATCATCATCGCTGCTGTCATTGGCCTGATCGATCTCCCTGCTGCATACAACATCTGGAAGATGGACAAGATGGATTTCCTCGTGTGTCTGTGCGCATTTGCTGGTGTCATCTTCATCTCGGTCCAAGAAGGCCTTGCGATTGCGGTAACCAACATATTGCTTATTTTTCTGTAAAGGAAGTTGCTTCTTTAATTGCTTGGTTACTGAAATTTGTCAAATATTCAGGTTGGTATATCGATATTTAGGGTGTTGATGCAAATCACAAGGCCAAGGATGATGATTCAGGGCAACATTAAGGGAACAGATATTTACCGAAACCTCCATCAGTACAAGGAAGCTCAAAGAGTTCCTGGGTTCTTGATATTGACAATTGAGGCCCCCATAAACTTTGCAAACACCAACTATCTGAATGAAAGGTAAAAAGAAACTCCTATTACTGGACAGAATTGTTGAAGTCAAACTGCGGAATAAGTTACAATGCAATACTTCCATTTGTAGGACTAAAAGATGGATAGAGGATGAAAGTTCTTCAGGGAATAAACAAACTGAACTCCGTGTCGTAATCTTGGATCTATCAGGTTAGTGACCCCCGAGAATATTTTTGGTTCGCTTCACATTTTAGCATCCTTATTCGTATTTTTTAACTCAAGTTCAATAAACCATATGGATGCACCTCAGTGTTACTAACTTTCTACAAGTAGCTGAAAGCATGGTCGCAACAGAAAGCTTTGTAAGAGCTCAGTTTCCTGCTTGGGAGTTAGAACTAAGGAAGTGTTAGATCAGGCCTTAAAAAATGATATATTCAAATTAGTTGATAATGCTTGTCTGAAATTTAGTGTTTTCAATATTTTCACTGACGCATCATACATATTTTCCTTTTTTCAGCTGTCCCTGCAATTGACACAAGTGGCATAGCATTCCTCATTGACCTAAAGAAGTCAATAGAGAAACATGGCCTAGAGGTATACTCATCATATATATGAAAAGTTAATATCTCTAGTTCACATTTTGCAAAAAGAAAACACTTGTTCACAAGCTATCAGTTAAACTATGTGGCAATACCTTTTTCTCTCCCTTCGCAGCTTGTACTTGTGAATCCAACTGGAGAGGTCATGGAGAAAATACAACGAGCGAATGACGCGCACAATCATTTCAGGCCGGACTGCCTGTATTTGACCACCGGGGAAGCAATCGCTTCACTTTCTGGATTTGCCAAGATGGCAACACCTTAGAGTGGTTTTGCCGAATTGCCATTTTGATCATCTGATTGCAATGTCAAATTTGCATTGCCTTCTCATTAGTGAAAATGCCTGCAACAAAGCATTTCACAAGTTTGTTTGTAGCTATCTTCAGTGCCCTTCAAGTCTATGTGATGGAAATTAGGTGCTTGAAATATGTACATTCATGGTTTCCCATCAACATGAGTTCTCGCAAACTTTTGAACTTCAGTGTTAAGAACTAATACATGTTTAACTGTAGAAACTGTAACAACTGAATTACCTTTATTTACTTTTACATGGTTCTACATGACCCATTAGCATAGATCATACATACATAGCTATAATTCAGAGTTCCCAATTGACACTTGATATGCAGTATGACACCAAAGTAATAATAGTAACTGCAACACTGTACCATGTAAGCAAAATCATCTTGGAATTTCAAATGAATGCATGAACTCTTTTTCCAAGCTGTACAGCCTAGTTCCTTCGCTACCTTTGCTTCCCTTGTATGACTGATCATTTATACAATTCTGGTTCAGTCTTGTGATCTGAGAACTGAGATTGACCTTTAAGTTCAGCACATCTTCAAGTGTTGTCTCCACTTGTCTCATTGTAGGCCTTTCTTCACCTTTTAAACTTAAGCATGCTTCTGCGAGTCTTGCAACCACCTCAGCATCTTCGGCCCCTCCCTCCTCAACAATTTGTGTATCCAGAATATCTGAGAATCGATTGTCTCTTATAAGTGACAAAAAATGTGATGCAAGACTTGTGCTTTCTGACGAATGAGAAGAAAAAACTGGTGCCATCCTCGTCAGTAGCTCTGCTAGGATAACACCAAAGCTGTAAACATCACTCTTCTCCGTGAGTCGACTGGTATAGTAGTATTCAGGATCAAGGTAACCATACGTTCCTTGGACGGCTGTAAGTATTCCTGTCTCATTTATTGCAATTGACCTTGAAGCTCCAAAATCTGATACTTTTGCTGTTAAAGTATCAGTAAGTAATATATTTGCGCATTTGATATCTCTGTGGTATACTGATATGGAAGCAGCAGAGTGCAGATATGCAATAGCCCTTGCAGTTTCCAATGCAATTTTTAATCTATCTTTCCATGACAAAGGGTTCTCACTTTGGCCATGGAGATGATACGATAGAGTTCCATTCGATATGAACTCATAAACTAGCAGAGGAACTTCTGTCTCGAGGCAGCAGCCAAAGAGCTTCACCACATTCCTATGGTTTGTCTGTGAAAGTATGACAACCTCATTTATGAACTGGTCGATTTCCCTTTGAACTACAATTTTAGCCTTCTTGATGGCTACCACATGTTGATCAGATAAGATGCCTTTGTAGACAGTGCCATGGCACCGCCACCAAGGATGCGATTCTGGTCAAATTTGTTGGTTGCTTGCTCCAGCTCTTCCAAGCTGAAAATCCTTGTTCTTTCTGCTATCTCTTTGTTTGAAGAGATTAGCTGTTGCAGAAGCAATCCATGATTTTTCTTGAAGAACTTTTGTCTCAACTTCTTGGCTCTTCGTTGCTTGAGTTTATTGGTGATTTTGGCAATACCCAGAAGTGCAAACAGTATGCCAGAACCAGCACTAATTGCAATTACAGTAATCAGACCTGCACAAAATGTAATGTTTTAACCAAGAATAAAACAAAATACAGTAGCATTTTATATAGACGGTATAGTATACTATTGTATTTTTGAACTGGTGAAAACTGTAGGGGGTGGTGACCCCATTAACCATTGCTGCCCTGTCTGCGACCAAGATGAACTCTGCCGAAGATGCAAAATGCTGAAAGTGGCTGAAGTGCTTGTGAACATGGTGCCGCCGAACAGAACCCATGAGACAGGCAGCAAGGAACAATGCCATTATAGTCTCGTCAAACCAATTTATTCTATGGGATATCATGGTCAGCTAAATACACGTGCGTTGCTATAGGAAAAAAAAGGAAAACCTACAAGTCATCAGGTGCTCATAGTGTCGGGCTGGTTGAATGAGTGAAAGCATAATTTTCTTATTCTATACAGTGGCATTTGCGGCAATTTCATTGCAACTTTGGTGGCAAATAGGTGGAGTTGTGCTTCCATCTACACTGTTTGGCATATCAAATGGCTCATGTCTGGAGGGGAGGAGATTAATGGACCAACCTCGCCAACTCATATCTTTATAGGAATACAAACAGATACTTCTAAGGACCTTAACTATCACTAGTGTAAGTCTTATATCTGATGATTGAGTTGTATGTGTACCTGGGAGGCTCGTGATACCTTTCTTTGCAAGGCATCGGTATGTCCCCGGCACATTGATGCAGGTTCCATGGCATGGATAAATGTCTGGCCGTTGGCACTCATCAATATCTGAAAAGAGAGCAAAAAAATACAGTGTTGAAAACACAAAGATATATGCGTAAACACATTTTGCTCACAAAGTTGACATGGAAAAATCTAATATGTTCAAAGTGCGGTTAAAAATTAACAACTAAAATTCCAGACGAGCAACATGGTCCCTGGCTATAACAAGTGCAAGAAAACAACAAGTAGTAATAATATACCTTGGCATCCATTTGCGATGTAAGGGTTGCCCTCGTATCCTTTGGAGCAGTTGCACCGTGCCTTTTGGATATAAAGACCATCTGCGACTATGAAGCAGTTTACACTTACGGATCCCCTGTGTTCATATAAATCAAAGCCATCCCGTCCCCAGTACAATTTCCCGTCATCTCCCACATGAAGTGACCATTCTACCAACGTTGGGATCAACGTGGAATCAACAATCTTATATGGGTTGTCAAAGTAATTCAACTGCAGCATGGGTGCCTTTCGGGCCAACCACTCTTGGTCAGCTATGAACACCGCTCCATATCTCAATGAATCACCGGTTCTCCAGTTCAAAGCACCAAGCTGGAGGTCATAGGACGGGAGACCTAGCCGTGCGATGGGCATCTGGCAGCAGCCGACACCAGAACATGAGGTGTCGCTCACCCACGGTCTGTCAGGACAATACACGGAACAGACACTAACATAGTCGCCAGAAGAGGCAATGAGGCTGGCTAAGACATTGCAGCCCATAGCAACGAACCGGTTGTGATCGATGGACACTATCAGGGGGCCCTCATCCGTCAGGCCAGCGGACCACAAGCCATCTGATTGATTAGATCTTGTGTTCAGCCAGATACTCACCATCTTGCTGTGGATCCGCAACGTACCATCCGTCAGAGAAATATCAACCACTTCCGCGCCATCACCCACCAGCAGCTTCGGTGGCTGGCGCGTCTCGTCGCACGTGAGATTGAAGCCCGTGCGGAAGCACCCTTGCCGGAAGCCAAAAGGGTAGGGGACGGCTATGCTGCCACATGCCTCCGGGCAACCAGGCAAGGCTATTGGAGCTGCTAATGTTGCCACTATACACTGGAGTGTTAATGCTGCAATACTGGTGCATAACTTTGCTTTTGTGGAAGGGGCAGAGGAAACCAGCACCATCCTGGAAACCTGTCTCTTTGGTGCAAGAAAAAAGGGTGCCTATTTATCGCGCATTCTTCTCTGAACATTCTATGGCACTGTAAACGACTGGGTCCTGTACATCGCTCTCGCTGATTAAAACCGAAGGGGAAAAGAAGGTGGATGTTAATGAGTGTTGTGCTAATCTTCTATGCAGATTTGGAAATCATGTCCAACTTGTCTATGCCAATAGTGACCTTCGTGGACTGGAGGGCATCGGTCAACATGTTGGTCATTGGTCGCACCGTGCCATCC